GTATAAATATCGAAGTATAATAAATATCGAAGTATAATAAATATCGAAGTATAATAAATATCGAAGTATAAACCTCTTGTGATCGCCAAGAATAATCATAGACGCATACGATCGTCTTATCTGGATTCTCTTCATCTGACTCACTGATTTCCGGCGAGTGGTAAGATCGATTTGCCAACATTTTTAATAATTGGCATTTTTCATAACCAATTATTCTTTCGTCACTTTTCCTATAAAGATCCTTTGCAGCCTTAATTCGACGCAATTTTTTCTTAAATGATAAATATATAAGAAAATTAGCATAAATCATTAACATGATGATAAAGGAAAAAATTCAACAATTTTACATTTTGTACGCGACTGTTGTTGTGAACTCTGCGACTGTCCTCGTCGCTTTTTCCACTTTTTTTCAGTTGTGTTTGTGATCTTCGCGACTTATGGAGGGCGCTCAACCAGTTCGTCAATTGTGCTACTGAAGGTTTATAATTCAGAAACATCGCCCTTCGAAGTTCAGGAATTAATCTACTGTGAATTTCAACATTTTTTGGACTATTAAACGTTTCGTTATCATTCAAATTGTCATTAGGTTTAATAGTTTTGAGGATCATTTTCATTTCAATCTTTAAATCGGAACAATTAGTATAAAAGTATAAAGACTGTACAATTCTGCCTAAAATTACAAAATTACAAACCCTCGCCTCCTTTTCACGTTGTTCTTCTTGTTCTTCTTTTGATTGATTTTCGGCGTAGTGTACCGTCTTCTTTACTTTTTTTGACCCATCCGATTTGAACCGTTTTGCTAACCGTTCTTCTGGAACATCAATAACATCAAGGCTTTCAGATGATGATTGTATCTGGTATTGTTCGAGTTTCGTTTTTAATTCGTTAACCTCTTCTTTCAAGTCGTCATTTTCAGAACCGAATTCTGCGTTAACACCAGCAAGAAATTTGTTATCTTCTCATAAGCAAGCTATTTCAGTGGCAACGACAGCTGTATGTTTGGTTAATTCATTATTTCGTTGTTCTAACTGTAAACACTTCACACGCAAATCGGATACTTCTTGAGATAACCTCCGATTCTCTGTATAAAAATGTAAAATTAACAAAAAAAAAAATACTAAATCTAACTGACGATATATACACGATACAGACCTGTTGATGCATCATCATCATCGCAGGTAGGTTCATTAGTTTGATATCTGACCGGAAGCTGAAGATTTTTATATCTCTCTTTTGCACTTTGGACTCGTTCATGACTTGGCGCAGCAGATGGTGGTTGAGTATTGGACGAATCAGGAAGCCGAAGATTTTTATATCTCTCTTTTACAATTTGAGCTCGTTCATGACTTGGCGCAACAGATGGTTGTTGAGTATTGGACGAATTTTTATTGATGTTAGTAGTTTGAGCTCGCTCATGAATTGGGGTGGCAGTACCTTCAACAGCTTGTTGAATATTAGAAGAACTTTTATTGATGTTAGTAGTTTGAGCTCACTCATGAATTGGCGTGGCAGTTCCTTCAACAGCTTGTTGGATATTGGACGAACTTTTATTGATGTTAGTAATCGTTTTATTTCGATTATCACTAGCCAAACCTTTTTCAGTATTTTTATTTTTTCTATTTTG